AGCATACAGCTTCTGTAGCATACTGCTTCTGCAGCATACTGCTACTGCTTTATCATCTGCTGTACCAATCGAGGCCTAAGTGGAGGAAGTTAAGAAAAACTGCCTAGATAACACAAACTGACTTAGTATGATATAAAAACCATGAAACTGTCCTAGAGTGATAATATTTCTTAAATATATTGGTGGCATGATTACCCAATTTTTTTAGCGCAATAAATATATTTTTTTAAGTTTTTATCACACAAATAAATTTCAAAAACTAAAATAATCAAAATAACATTTTTATTTTGAATTTTTTTATTTTTTTTTAATTTTTAAAGAGAGAAATTTCCTAGGATACACTTAAAAATGTTTGTCACAAATATAGATCTTAAAAATAAAAATAACCAAAATAGATTTAAATATTTTATCAAAAATAAGTAAATATACACTAATATTCTGTGGGTTAACTAATTTTTTTTTTTGTTTAGAGTTAAAGATTGGGATTTTAGGGATAGAATTTCAAACTTAAAAAAAAAAAATTAAAATTTTCAAAATAAAAATATTGTTTTGATCATTTTAATTTTTGAGTTCTATTTTTGTGATAAAAATAAAAAGGTCTATTTGAGAGAACTGTCCTTTATAAAATTGAAATCATATCTCCAAAATGCCACTCGTCAACTCTAAACAAGAAAAACTAGAATTAGTTAACCCAAAAGATATAAGTGTTTATTTACTTATTTTAAATAAAATATTGAAATCTGTTTTAGTCATTTTTATTTTTAAAATCTATATTTGTAATAAAAACGTTTTAGGTTTATCCTAAAATCCAATCTTATTTTTTAATTGAGATTACCCAAAATTACACATATGAAAAATGTAGGCTAAATTTCTCAAAAAACGTTAAAATGGATTATTTTGACAAATGAGTACATAAAAAAAAGGGAATATGGCTCTATGGCCTTACAAAAAACATTAATTCACTCGGTAGCTAAAATCACTCCCTCTCTCTCTTACTTTTCCTTCCTATCTCTTTCTAACTTTGGTCTAAAAATCTAATTTCTTTTTTTTTCTTGGCCATTTCACAAATAAGTCCTAAAAAAACATGGCAAAAGAGTTTCATTAAGTAAATAAAAGATCTTTTTATCCCTTACTTTATAAATATATAAATATAAATAATATTTAAGTAAATAATAGAAAATAAATCTTTTTCAATTAAAGAAGTTTATTTTCCAAAATATCTTTTTAATTCGAATTTGATTTTACTTTTTCAGAAACTTTTTTCCTATCTTATTTCAAATCCCAACACGACATAAAAACACTACACTGAGAATCTTCATTGTTAATTGCAGATCAACAGAGTTTACATTTTAGTAAGAATATATTTTTATTTCCTTAAAAGCAAGATACACTAGTAAAAAATGCATATTAGCAAGGTGTACGGTAATTTTGTAGCAAAACAAAAAAAAAAACGAATTTGCCTCTGTTTTGCTACGAAAAAAGAAAGGTGGTAAAAGGTAGTTAATTCGTAGTAAAATATGCGTGATGTGAACTAGTGATTAAGAAGTAGCTTTATCAAAAATAGTAAAATATGCGTGATGTGAACTAGTGATTAAGAAGTAGCTTTATCAAAAATAGCCATAATTAAATTCGAGATTTTTTTTTTTTATAACACTGATACGATGAAATATTCGAAACAGTACAAATTGAGATATATAAGAGACAAGAGGAGATGTCAGTAGACATCAAAACAAAAGTGAAAAGAGTCTCACCCAATCTCTAATTCCTGAGCCTCAAAAGCGAGTAGGTGATGGAGCTACACGGGGGCCTTGCGGGCGATGTATGACTGGGGACGGTGGTCGAGAGTGACACTTAAAATAATGGTGTCAACAGTTTCATTGCGTTCTGGAAGTGCGTGATCTAAACTCCATGAATCTATCTTGAATTGTGTTTTCTGGTTAATGGAAGATTTTTAATGCGCATTATCTAGTTCTTTTGATATGTTTTGTATATAAAACTATAAAGAATGTTTTTTTCCTAATAAAAATAATTTCATTAATCGACCGCAACGAATATTCCGCTGTGGCTACAGATTCTGGTTAACCAGGGAAATATTGCCATAAGTTAGGGTATTTTATCTGTTAAATTTGATTCGATTCATTATTCATTTTGTTTTGATCCGAAAATTTTGAATATCCAAAACTTCTGAATATCCGTAAACTTTCGTAACAAAGCAAATACTAAAAATCAATATCCGTAAAAGTCGAAGCAAATTACAAATATTAAAATTTTGGGAAGCATATATCCACACAGATCCGATAATATATAAATACATGTATATCTTGATTATATTATAAAATTATATAATTGTTATTCTAACATATGATTTGACAATATCTATTCACATTATTACTTATATAAAAATATTACATAAAAAGAAGAAAAAAAGACTTATAATAATTATAATTTTTTTCTTAAGTTTTGTGTTATTATAATTGTTAACTAAGTTTAAAATTTTTACAAATTATTTAAATTCACTACTTCTTTCAATTTTAATGTTGTATATTATAAAAGAAAAAGTATTTTACAAAATAAATTTGTATCAAATTTTTAAGATTATTTGTATTAATCAAAACGTATAGATATCCGTAAGTATTTTTAAATATCCGTAAATATTTATTTATTTTTCCGGATATCTATATTTTTCCGAAGCAAAGCAAATCGAAAAATTAGATATCCGTAACATATGAAACAAATCAAAAATACCTTCAAAATTCTGAATATCCGATTCGTGCCCAGACCTACATGTGACCGACTACAAGAAAGCAACAAGGAAAGAAGCAATGCAATGGGGGTTAATGTGGGAAGTATTTAGACTTGATTTTAGGTTGGAAGCTGTTGTGGGCACAGAAACGATACATGAATTAGAGCCTCACAAAATCGCCCATACTGCCTATTTTGGAGGTGCCAACAACATAGGTCAGTAAACGGAGTATATCTCTCTAACCATAAGAACATTTTAGATGAAACTAACTTTTATGCATTCTATACTCAACAAGGAGTCATATCCAATTGGAATCATACAAAGATCTGCTCTGACCAGGAAGATATTAGTTTTACAAACCGGAGGTTCTACAATCCATCCATTTGCAAATATCCGAGTTTAGAAGTGGATTTTCACCCAATGGAGAAGTGTTCCGACCCAAACCAACTCATGAACTTCATGATGGATCTAGTAGCTTTCCAACAAGCCGAGAATAAGGAGAAATGGCAACGGAAATATGAAGTTATGGCCCAACTGTCTAAACCAGTCAAACTAGTTCTGCACTTGCCCGATTTGGAGTCTAACCGGTTCAATCAGCTTCAGACCAAACATTGGCGACCAGGAGATCATCTTAAACTTCCAGAGTACACATCCAACCATCCAGAAGAGTCAGAGACTTTCTTACAATGCACCAACATCCATCAAATTATTCAGACTCAACCAAGACCATACTTGCCATTTTTGGAGTCAAAAGCTATTAATTCTCAACAACTCTTTTTCCTTGAGTTTGTGCACGACATCAGAATCTTCCAAGCCATCGAAAAGATCCCAAGGAAGCTCTCTTATCCCCTAAAACCGTCCAGGTTTAAGAAGAATCAAGAATCTCATTTGGAGCTAAAAATCCCACAAAATACTCCAACGGCTAGTTTTTGAGTTTTTGCTTTGTTTTCGATTTTTTTCCTTTTTTTTTCTCTTTATGAATATTAGACTAAGATTCCTGAGCATTATATAAGCTCGTTGTCGACTTGTATCCAAACCACCTTTCAATCTAAAAATTCATAAAGTTATTCAGTTTTTATCAAAGAATAGAATGTTTTTTGCATAAAGTTTTGGTCTTTAGAATTCAAGGAGAGAGTCTTTGTAGTTCTACTGATTTCGTGGTTCATAGGTCCTTGTGTAATTCAGGAGCCTTGATATCACTGATTGAGAGAGTCAGTCGACCCACCAGACTGAGAGAATCAATTCTTATCCAACAATCGTCATCTATCCATCATCCATCATCAAACATCTATCTATCAACCATTTCATCCATTTTATTTGTTTTGTTTCTGTTCTTATTTTCATTATTCATAAACTCATTGTTCATCCTTTGTTTTCAGGTTAGATTGAATTTAATAGGACAGTAAGTCGGCCATCTTCACCCTTTTTCCATCTGTTCTTCATCTCCATTGATAAGATCGACCCATCGCCCATCCATCTCATCGACCTAGCTTCTGTGTCTTTAACAGAAGTCCATCTATCTTAACATGGTATTAGAGTCTGTTCCAAAGAATGCACATCGATCATTGCCGAACATTCCAAGATTGACGCTCAAAAAATCATCATCTCGAAAAGACGTATTAAATACAAAGTGCCTCCCATCAATAATTAGAAAGGATCCTTAGTAGTATATAAAATAAATGAGTCAATCTATTTATCACCAATTTATAGGTTCGAAGGAATACACATCCCGGGGAACCACCATCCGGAGATAGATCTGTCATTAGAAGCTACCTTCGCAACAATCAATACAATCCCAAATCCCTGCTGACTAGCTTGCAAATTCTGGCAAGGTTTCTGTCGTCCTCAAACAGGGCACACCCGCCATTTAATCTGACAAACCATCAGGAGCACGGGACTTCCTAGAGATATCTGCACCAGCAAATCTTTATGATTCGTCACGGTGATGGAGAGAGTGCCTCGAGGAACATTGAGACCCAAGCCTCGGTCAGTGAAGAGCACATGCCAAGGAGAGCTTGAAGCGGTCGGACGGTTACGTCGACAGAATGGGTAGCCTCCACACAAATAAGAACTTTTAACATAAAAATGAATTTGTGAATAGTATTCCTTCGATACGATGTAACATTCACATTTTCATTTCCCTAAGAAAATGTACTATTTGGATGAAATTGTCTCATTTTGATGCATCATTGGAGATGATTTCAGTGAACAAGATGTCAGTGAACAAAACATGACCTGCAAGATAAGAACAATAGACTTGCTGGTGTCATGAACACTTTATTTTTTTTGATAAAAAGAAAACACTTCTAATCATTATTTGCAAGTCTTATTCTCCTCCTCTCATCTATATACCTTTTTTTTTGAAACACCCTCTCATCTATATACCAAACAAAAAAAAACATGTTTTATCCGACAATGGTAGCAAAAGCCAAGTCAGAGTAGTTTATATCCAGCTTTGATATCTCTAAGAAAACTCGAGACACTAAGCACACTCCCTCTAATTAAGACTGAAGCTCCTGCGAGGAAGAGGAAGAGAAGATGCTGTGGTTACTCTTCTCCAAGCTGCCGACTGAATCAGAGTCATTATCCTCGACGTCGAGCATCGCGAGGCTCAAATGTAATTCTTTGTTCGAATTTGGGTAAACCTCGTCGTCGTCGTCCAAACAATCTTTATCTTCTTCTACTTTATTCACCCATTTCTCTACCTCATCTTCTCCTCTTAGCAGCTTTAGTATCTGCAGAAATGTAAATAAAAAGGAGACTTAATTGGTTATATCTTGGAGGATCCAACACTTGAAATCAGTTACAAGTCTACAAAATTTCTGGAAATAACCTCTCTGATATTGGGACGATGAGTAGCTTCTCTTTTAAGGCAATATTTAGCAGCAACAACCGTCTTCTGAAACTGAGCCTCATCTAAACTCCCTGAAATGTTAGGATCCAAGAGCTCTTTTGCATCGCCTTTTTCAATCATCGGTATTGCCTGCAACCCAAGTAATCTCTATTTATGTTTCAAAATAGGTTTCTTACGCTACAAGCAAACCAAAACCAACACTTACCCACATGACCAGACTTTCTTGTCCTCTTGGACTATCAGAAGAAATAGTAATTCTTCCTGATATGAGCTCAAGCAAAACTACTCCAAAGGCATAAACATCGACTTTATCACTGACTTTTCCATACATGAAGTACTCAGGAGCTAGGTATCCAAATGTCCCCACCACGTCTCTTTCTATTGTGTATTCACAAGACTTTGATCCCCAAATGGAAAGCCCAAAATCTGAAAGCTGTTACCACATGAAAGATTTTAAATGATTATGAGGTTTGTTCATATATTTGTCGAGTTATCATCAGTCAGAAGTTCTCATTAATTACCTGAGGTTCAAACTCATCTGAGAGAAGAACATTAGAAGATTTAACATCTCTGTGGATCACAGGATTAGAACATTGGTTATGAAGATAATCAAGAGCTTCCCCTAACCCAACTGCTATCTTGAATCTCTCTTCCCATCCCAATACATGCTTACCTGTAAATATAAAATAACCATATTTAATATATATATTAAAGTTATTGTGTCAAAGATGGTTTTAAGAGTAGGGCTAACCCTGAAGGGCTTCCTCTAAACTTCCTTTGGATGAGAGATTGTAAACCGAGATTAGGTCGTTGTACTGAACGCAGATACCGATCAGAGGAGAGATGTTTTGGTGACTCAAAGAAGAGATTATTCTCACTTCTTCAATAAAATCCTTCACTGCTTCTTTACCAGATGATTTCAAGATCTTCACGGCCACTTCTTCCCCATCTTCAAGAACCCCTTTATAGACTTCGTTATATCCTCCTTTTCCGATTATATTCTCTGTAAACAAGAATCAGATGAACATAAAGTGACTTAGAGAATAGAAAAAAAAACAGAGTTGTAAGAAATTACCTGAAGAGAAATCAGATGTTGCTGTCTTAAGAACATCATAACTAAACCATTTGTTTATTTCCTTTAATATGTCTTTAAGTTGTGAATCACAAAAGCTTTGTTGAGAAGTCAAATTTTGATGAGGAAACCGTTCAGGAAAGCTCATGACCCAATTGACAACTGATACGTTTCGAGTATGATGTTGAACCACAGGAGTAGCTAAAGTGGTTGTTCTTAGCAGTGGCCAACCTGGTTTCTGGTCCATGACCTCTACCGATGGAAGAGAAAGCGATCTACCTGAAACCCTCCTTTTCTCTTGGCTTGTTATCTCGAGAACTCTGCTTTTAACTGTCGATTCTTCTGTTTTCAGTTCGATGTCTTTGTCTGAAAGTCCATCATAAATCTCAGAACTTGTATTTTGAGCTGCAAGAAGAATAAAACCCATTTATGGTCAACGGATTCAAGTTTAAAGAATGGTATATAGACATATAGTTTTTGTTTTTTTTTTTAATGATGTAAAGAGAACCCACGAACCAAGAGGTGGTTGGTAATAGTTGGATCGTCTAAAGAATATATTTCCTCTGTAGATGGCCAAAACATCTGTTGTTGGCGGAAGCTCTTTTGCGCAGCCTTCAGCTACTTTAAGACTTATAAAAAAAAATATATAATTAATAAGAGAATATCAAATTTTTACTTGTAAAACTTTTCTCCCCATGTTTTTAGTTCTCACCTTAACTTACTTTGATGTTTAACTCCAACAACAATGGATATAGCGTTGTATCTCTTTGCCTGTTTAACTAAAACCTCTTCTACTGAGTTTCCCTTCAAAACTTCTCCTTCGAGCTTAATCTGTTCTCAAACTCCAAATATTCTCTGTTACCCAATGGTCGAAATCGTGGAGTTACTCGAAACAAACCCGTAAAAAGATGTGAAGCTACCTTCTTTGTTGAGCAGAATTCACTGTACAGTTCTAAGTACCGATCCAGTGATAACTTGTTTTGTAAGGTACAGCCTGAATCATATCATCCAAGTTCCATAAATCAGAACCATACAAAAAAAAAACTTAGTAAAGAGTCTAAAGACTAAAGCGTAACTATAAACGAATGAGTAATTAATAAGGAAGAGAAGAAGAGCTCACGAGACGTTAAACAAACATGAATAACAACAACACAATCTCCATGTTCTGCAACTTCTTCAAGTGTCCATTGCAATATCTCTTTGCCACTTTCATCTATTTTAATTCCAACCAATACAATATTCTTGTGGTTCAAATTCATAATATCCACATTTTTGCTTCTCTCCACTGCCATTTTCGTTTGCTTCCTATGTGCGAAGAACTAAAACAAAATGCGAATTGCAGAAGAATTTCTGGCTTGTTCGCTATAATATAAATAAATATAAATCAAGACTTTATGTTTGTTCTTTTAAATATTATTTTTTTGTAGGGAAGTTGAGAGATATAAAAGTCAGAAAACTTATGTTGTAACTACTATCAGATACAAACACAAATTCCAGAGAGAGACACTTGAATATTCAAAAACATTTTAAAGTAATAATATAAGCAGATTTGGTTTAAAGAAGATACACGATGAGCATTAACAGACAACATAGTATCACCTAAATCATCTGTATTTATTATTAAAATTTTATAATTAGGTCAAAAATATAATTGATAGTTTTGCTACCATGTGGCATCAGCATTTGTACCTGATTCTGCCACGGCTGATAAAATGGCCTTAATAGATCAGGTCTGATACCGATAGTGTTTGTGAGTCTGGTTGTGATCATAATATTGCAGCTGAAACAACAATTTGTTGTTCTCGAATCAGTTTTATTTATATGCCTGTAGTTACTGTTTATATCAAACTATCAAATAAATTAGACAAAACATATTAATCTTATCACTAAATGAGTAAACATGCTTTTAGTCATGCCCAAAATTGAATAGATGAAACTAAATCAAATGTTTAAACTTATATATAACTTTGACTAAAGTATAAGATTAATGTTTACAATCTGGTTACAAAATTTTAGTTCATGCAAATAATTAAATATCTGCTATTTAATTTTTGTTGTATATTTTAAATATGTTTCCTTGTTTTAGCTGTCATAAATTTAATATATATGATTTACAGATCCTTATATCCCATATTTATTATACAGTTTTCCATATATGTGTTACTATTACTAAAGAAAAAATAATCTAGTTTTTAGAATAGAACCAAATAACCTTAAACATGTTCTATATATGAGTATTCTATTAAATTAAAAATATCTACAGTTAACATTAAAACCTTAGATGACATAAGAAGATATTACATAAATCCAAAATTATATTTATGACTAATGAATGCTTTGATTATAAAATATTAAATTCCTAACTAATTAATTAATATAAGATCCTATTAAAAACTAATAATTACTTACATTTGTGAAAAACTTAAAAGAAAAGTTATAATTTCTCTTTATCTAAAATAAACAAATTTGTATAAGTAAATGTATAAACAAAGTAAATATTATTTCTTAAGTTGTGTCAAGCAAGATTAAGGAAATGTTTAATGCATAATAAATTTCAAATTTATAACCATTAATTTAGAAATAAAAAATATATTGAAAATATATTTTTTAAAATAAGACAGATTTTGTTCCAATGAAAATGTGATTGTGTAAGGATATTACTTTAAATTATTTGACTATAATCCAATAAATTAAATTGAAAGATTTTTAGCAAGAAATTTCCTTTTATAAAAAGGTATGTTATTATATATAAAAACTAAAGTAAATAGAATACTCAACACAATAAGAGAATATCATAAAAATGGGTATCTCCAAAAACATATTAATCGCATTTGTTTTCACCATTTTCCTCATAATATCTAATGTTCATTGCAATCAGGGTATTAAAATATTACTTTGTGTATAGTTTTACTTATTTTTCACGCTTTTATTGCTTTATAATTTTTAATATTAGAATATTTGTGATTTTATAGATTTTGGACTAAAACAAGACTACAAAAAATGTTATGATCCGTGTGGCCGAGGAGGAGACTCAGGATGTGAGAGGTTTTGTGGAGCTAAAAGCATTCAATTAGTTGGAAAATGTATTGATAAAATATGTTGTTGTATGTCAAAAAGACAAAACTAAAATTATTATATGTTATAAGATTTGATCAAATGACATTAATAAGGATTATATAAGACATTATAAACTGAGAGCACTTTAACAAACCCGAGAATGAACTTGGTCAAAGTTATCACAATACTGAACATATTAATACAATACTAGATTTCGACCCGCACAATCGTTGCAGGTATATATTTTAATGTTTATTTATAAATATTTTTTTAAGGATCAAAAATATATATTTTTAATGTTACTCACATATTTAAATGTCTGTATAATTATTTGAAATACAATAATTTTATAGTTTTTATGATGTAAACTCAAATCACCACATATATATGTTTCTTATTATTATATATTTTTCTTATTGAATTTGCCTTTGATTATTAAACCAAATTCTTATGTATGAAACAACTTATTTTAAAATTATTTTATTTATATTTTATTATGATCATAACTCGTAATTCAAAACGCTAGATTAGCAATTTTTTATATTTATTCACTTTATATGATAAATTACTGTATATAAAAAATTTAGATAAATTGACTTTTATACATGAATTATTTATATTAACATAACTATATTAACTTATCAATTTCAAAAAAATTTATTATATTTAGTTCAATATAATGGTTTTCTTTTAAAATTATAGACATTATTAGAAAACAGATAAACTAGGATATAATTTTTAATCCTTTCATTTTATAGAATATAGCTGAATATATATATTTATATATAAATATATTAATGTATAATAACATTTCATGACTAATTATGAAATTAGTGAAAATATTTATGTTTACTTTTTAACAATTAAGATCTTGTTATAATATTTTTCAACAGATTTGATAGAATTTATATATATATATATATATATATATATATATATATATATATATGAACTAAAAAAATATCAAAAGATATTATGATTAAAGTAGTTAAAAATATTTTATATTATTAGCATTAAGGATATACATTTAACAAAAAATAAATGATGATCTAAATAAAAATATCACACATAAAAGAAATCATGAATCTTATTTAATAGAATATATATGTATATATATTTATTTTAAAAAATTAAAATAAAATAAATTTTTATTTGTAACAAATCTTTTAAAATTATCTGTAGAATGTATTTTGAAATTAATCAATTTTATTTTTATTATGAGTGAATATGATTAAATATATTCATTTTTTAATATTCGTTTATAAATATGATTAGATTTTTGATAAGAAGAATAATATCTTCTAAAATTTTGAAATCTTTCGACGAAAAGGCTTTGATTATACTGTTTGAATCAGTTGTACAAAAATGGTCTTAATTGACAAAAAAAAAATGGCCTTAATAGACCAGGTTACAAGTAGTGGTCTAAAAGAACTTGTGTTCGATTCTCGGCGCATCTTTAATAAATTTTAATTATAATTTTTTTTAAGAAAATATATATCAAGTCCCACATCGCTTAACTACAAGGGGAATAAGAGTTGGAGAGAGTTATAAATAGGCGAACACAGCTGACTTAAAGATTTGCAAATGTACTTGAAATAAAAGATCCATATTTAATCACATAGTATAAATTTATATGGGTTTTAATCAGTAAAATCAGGTTTAATACAGATTAATCGGTTAACCGGCCGATTATTCGGTCACTCGATTAGTTGACCAATTTGATCATAATCGATAATCGTGGTGGTCACTTGCCGCCAAATGCATAACTGGCCGGTTAATCGGTTAGGCGTGTTTTAGAACCCAGGGTTTGATACAGATAGTGCTCGTGAGCCTGGTTTTGATCACAATATTGCAGCGCCTGAAACAACATTTCGTTGTTCTCGAATCAATTTTATTTATATGCTTGCAGTTACTGTTTATATCAAAATTTCAAATAAATTAGACAAAACATATGAATTCTATAACTGAATAATTACAAAACTATTTCATTAAAACAGAAACATTGTTTTGGACCTAACATTTGTTATGTAAATTTTTAAATTAAATACACTTTCTACTATATAACTAAACATACATTAAATCATTAATATTCTTTTCCTTATACTACTATCTATATATCTAAAAATATATTTATTTTTGTACTACAATCTATGTTTCCAAACAACATTATAATTAGTCTTATGTCCAAACAATACAAAATATTAGATCTTATCTTTTTAATAACTTCCAAAAAAAATTCAAATTATTTAGATAAATTATATAATTAAAAAAATAAAATAATTTATAAAACAAAAAAATAAACAAAACTTATATTTACAGATTTAAATACTATAAATAATTCAGTCAATAATCAATCAAGTAAATTATCATTTTATCCTATTTATTTCCTAAATAATGGTTATATAATTAATTCAAGTAACATAATAATTCAATAATAGCCAATTCATAATATATATATATATAATACTATACTTTGTAAAATAAATATAATAAAAAAACTATTATGAAAAATGTTTAAAATTTCTAAAAAAATGCTTACCACTAATTGTTAACAACAAATTAAAACCGATTATGGTATAAAACAAATTATTAAATATATAAATTACAAAACATATAATAAAATTAATTAAGCTACATAAAAAGATTAATATTATTATGAATTATTTATAGCTTTTTATTATTTTATTTCTACCATTTTCTCTATCAAAATTTTGCAGAAACATCATAATTTCATAAAAAAATTGCAAAACAATGAAAATTCAAAACTTAGATTAAAAAGTGCAAAGTATGAAACTAAAAAAAATATATCTTATTAAAACAAAAACATTGTGACTTTTTTAGGTGGATTTTAAGTTGGACTTACTATTAGATATGATATATTATCTGCTTCTATTAATTAACAATTAATATTTAGTAAATTATTTCTTTATTCTATTTTGCTAACTTAATAATTTATATGCATTTATTTTATTAGTTGGCCCATTTGCCTTATATTCAAAATATTTTTTTGGCCAATTGATTTTATAAACAACGTACAATAATGTTTAAATTTGAGATTTTATAACCACCATCCAATAAGTCTATGAGATAATCAGCATACAGTATATTAACCAATTAATTTTATATATATCCATACTATATATGATATATTCAAAATGAATGCAAGTCAAACTTCTTAACCAATTATCCTTTAACCAATCTAAATTGGGTTACATATTAGATTAACGGGTTTACC